TGTCCTGGGACAGTTTTATAATGCTGAGTCATCTTGTATTTGCCAAGTACATTCCCTGTGAAACTACCCAGGTCTTGTCTTTGAGGGTGTTCTTTGATAACTTCATGTATTTTATCTGTGGGAGTAGGGTCTGTTCAAGCTTTCTATCTTTATTTGGGTCAAGTGTAGCAAGTTGTATTTTCCTAGGAAATTGTTCATGTCATTTAGGTTTTAAAATGAATTTGCAGAGACTCATACAAAATAGTTCTTTTGAGTTTTTTATGTTCATTTGTTTCATGGTTATTTCTCTCTTGTCACTTCTCTTCTTTATTTTCCTGATTAGGAAATTATAGAACTGTCTGTTCATTTCTTTTAAAAGAAACAGCATTCTGATTTATTTAATAGTTCTATTTACTTTCTTTTATACTCCATTTGTAGTTCCATCTAGTGGTATTTAATAAACATCAAATATTTAGTTTCTGTTCTGTATCACATTTGTTTTTAGCCTTATTATTTTATTCCTCCTCCTTTCTCTCTGTTTATTTTATAGTTATTTTTCCAACTTTTTGAGTCTGGAACTTAATTTTTTTTTTATTAATTCTGTTGGTATAATTATTTAAAGTTATAAAATTTCCCCTGACCACTGTTATAATTGTATCCCATAGATTCTGATATGTAGTGTTTTTATCACACTAATTTTTGGTAATTGTGCAATTTTTATTTGTACTTTTTGGTCAATTGTTTATTACAGGTTTTTTTTTTTTTTTAATTTCCAAGAGAAAAGACCTCTTGGTATTTTGATTCCGTATTAATTTCCAACCTTTTAAAATTTCTATTAGAGATTTATGTTTGTATTTTATTATTAGATTTTATTTGTGACTAATAAGTGGTAAACTTCTGAACCTGGCATTTGAGAAGAACCATGTTCTCTATTTTCAGAGGCAAAGTTTAATAATTTATCATCATATCTACTTTATGGATGATTCCATTTCCTTTCTGTTTTTTGTCCTTTTGACCTTTCCTGGACTGAGAGGAGATGTTATCTCTGTAAAGTAACTCTTCTCTCCCGTGGGTTAGTGGGTTTTCCCTTCCCATGACCTCTTTGAAGTTCCCACATCACGAAGATGGTTCCTGTGTGAGTTGTTACATGCACACCCATAACAGGTATGTCTTCATCATGAATTGTTGCTTTAGGCACCAGAAGTGGTGGTTTTGCCTCTTTAAATGCTCTTTCTGTGCTTGACTCTTGTCCCGAACATTTGTGCTCCCGCTTTCCTGTTGGCTGTGTTTGTTGCCAGCTGTTCACCCATTCAGCAACACAAAGCACTTTGTTCTGGACGGGTCTTTGGGATCTAGCATCGGTCGGGTTCTACGCTGTGAACCAGTTTGAAAATCTTTGAGTTTTCAGTGTGATGTTTGATCTCAACTGTGTTATATTATTAAATGTGATATTTACAGTGTGTATTATAACATATTCTATTTCCTTCTCTTTTTTACATCTTGTCTTTTTTTTTTTTCTGGTCATTAGGAAGCGTGTGTCTGTATTAACAGTTACGTTTACTGCCTGTAATCTTTTTCCTCACATAGACTCTGATTTTTATCGTCTGTAAGTGACTTCTGCTGACTCCTGTCACCTCTGCAGCTGTTTTTATATATTTATTTTCCCCATTTTTATTTTTTGCTGCTGTCTTGTTTCTACTTTGCAAGATATTAAACATCTACATACTATTCTTCTATCCCCATTCCCACCCTGGTGTTAGTTTTAGATCAACAATTAAATATTTTCAATGCTCACTATCAGTCCTTTTGGTCAGTACTTTCTTTGGTCAACACTTGTTGGAAGAAGTTTGTCTTTAGTAAACTCTTCAGAGGAGCATCGAGGCACAATATTTCATGAGCTCGTGAACATTGCGTTTTCCATAACCTGAGTCTTGAAGGACAACTTGAAAGAGCAGAAAATCTTTGACTCCTTCGTTCTTTCCTTGAGTTCTTTAAAACGACTATGAATCTACTGTCGTGTTTGCATTTTGCTCTCAGGTCATCAGATGCTAACTCAGGTTTCATGTTCTTTGCTTTGGGAGTCACTTGTTTTGTTTACCTGGAGGAACAAAGGATTTAAAAAACACCTCTAACCACTTTATTGGATGTGTTCTGGTTTTGACCATTTCAGGTCAATTTTATTAGCTACACGTGGGCCCTTTTCATATACAGATTCAAGTCACCTTGTATTTCCACAGAATTGCCTTCTTTATGGTTTTATTGGATTCTACTTTATAAATATTAGCTACTTCTCATTGTTACCTGGTGTTCCTTTTGGAACTCCGATTAGCTGCATATTGGACCTGCTCTGTGCATCTTCTGTGTGTGTGGTTTTCCCTTTGGCCCTTTCACAACCTTCCTGTGTTATCCCCATTCTCTTGTCTATTTCTGTTCCTGTCCCAGTGTCCCTGTCACATACTCAGTTGAATATGTTGTCTCTTGGGCACCTAATAGTTTAATTTTTACTTGTTTTCTTCAGTGTCTTCCCCAAATTCAGCAAATTCTCATTTATGTATTTTGATATGAATTCTTCTTGTTTCGTTTTCAGCTTTTGGATTCTTGATGTGAAGTTTTTAAACTGTTAAAGAGAAAACATGTTTGTTTCATAGTATTTACTTCTGGTTGGGTGCCGCTCACAGCTCTCCTCTGCTCCCTGGCCTCTTGCGCGGAGATTTCACCAGCTGGTGCAGCTGTGGGTGCGTGTGATGCACACAGTAGGCATCAACTCAATGAGGACTTATCGAGTGGAAGGAATGGGGGGGCACTTGCCATGGGGAGGCTCCCAGGGCCTCCTGTCTCTTTCCAATAGTGGAACCATCATGCAGAGTCAGAGCTCTTGTAACCCCATCAAGAAGCAAACCTCACGCACCTGGGCTGGGGGCTGGGCGGCTGGGGGAGGGGTGGGCACTGCAGAGCCAGCGGGTGTCTTAGAGCTACAGGAGAGACAGAGTTTAGGCTTGGAGTCAGGCAGACCTGGGTTTGAATCCAGTCTTTACCCGTGGCCCACTGGGTCACGTGGGCAAGTCATTTTGGGTCTCTGAGCAAGCTCACCTCACCAGCAGATGTGACTCGACCCCCACCCCACACCTGGCTGGTCCGCAGGTGACATTGCTCCTCTCAGAGGAAACTGCTCTGTGCCGTGCACTGCTCCCAGGGCCGGCTTTCCTTCACAGAAGTCCTGTTGCTCCCCCGGAGGGAGCCAGGCCTGCACTCCGACCCCGGCCTCGCATTGACGGTCACGGCCCAGGGGTGAGTGCAGATGCCCGGGCTCCCCACACGGGGGGCCACAGCTCTCTGGGACAAGGGACAAGCTCTGAAATCCCACTGGAAATAGATATTCGAATTTCTGGATTAATCCTTGAAACCCTTCTCTCTGGATTTCCATGTCCTTTGTTTCCATTATCTGGATCATCTTCTCTATCTCTGGCCCGCCAGCCGAGGTGGAAGCAGTCTCCTACTTTGTGTTTTCTGAATGAAAGACGTGTCCTCCGTGGCGTCCTCTTCTTGCTCACAAAGCCGGCATCCGCCATGTTGTCGGTCGTGCTGACTTTCGAGGCCAGTCTCCGCTGCTGCTTTCTCAGTCAGCTGTTCTCTCCTATCCTTCCACCTGGGATTTCCCAGGGCAGTTGGGAAAACATACAGAAGGGCGAGAAGCCTGCCCTCTCAGGCATCCCCCCGCAGACGGCCAGGCCAGCACCTGGACGCCGTCGGGGTGTTCTGTGTTCACTTTCCGTGGGCACTTCCCTGTGGCACCTGGACGCTGTCGGGGTGCTCTGTGTTCACTTCCTGTGGGCGCTTCCCTACGGCACCTGGATGCCGTCGGGGTGCTCTGTTTTCGCTTTCCGTTGGGCGCTTCCCTACGGCACCTGGACGCCGTCGGGGTGCTCTGTGTTCGCTTTCCGTGGGCACTTCCCTACGGCACGTGGACGCCGTTGGGGTGCTCTGTTTCCACAGAGGGCCTTGTTGGCTGCTAGGTGTTTGGCTGGCCTGGCCGTCTGCGGGGGGATGCCTGAGAGGGCAGGCTTCTCGCCCTTCTGTATGTTTTCCCAACTGCCCTACTTGTCGATGGTGCCTAGGCCTGGCCTCTGGTGCTCTGAGCACTGACGGGAAGGACGCTGGCATCTCGCGGGCGGAAAGACCGCTCCCCAGGCTCTGTCTGCAGGGTGGCGTCTCCCCTTCACGCCCAGCCTTGCCTCGTGTCCCTCAGCCTGGAGTTTACCGTTCAACCTCCTGAGAGACTAAACTTCCTGCCTTCCGCGGGGTGGAGGGGCTCCGTTTCCAGGCTGTGGAGCCAGGGGAAGGGGCCTGGGGGTCTAGCTGCGTCTCGGAGCTTCGACAAACCCGTGTCCTCCACACCCCACCCCTCCCCTTCCTTGGGAGACTCTGGAGCTTCCAGTTCCTGAGCCTCCTGGCGGCCCCGGGGGGTGGCTCAGCCCGCGGGAGTCGCCTCTTCCACCGTAGCGCTCAGATCTCACCGACAGCTAGTCCTCCGTCAGGTGCCACTGCCTGCCTGCTTGCCACTTGCCCCTTCCCGGCCCGCACGCCCCGATCTGCCACCAGCGCCCTCCAGGTCCGGCCGTCCTTGCAGCGCGCGCCTGCGGCTGAGGCAATGGGAGCTGCTTTCTGGCTGCTGTCAGGCTCTTTCTTCCTTCTATTTTTTGCTTTGCTGCCCAACCCTACCTCTTCCCTTCTTCGCGTCTCCCTAAGATGTTTAAATTCGAAAGGTTGTCCTTTGTTGTTACAAAAACGCATCCTGCCCGGAAAATTTGGAACCTTCTCAATGAAAGCAAACACGAGTGAATAGAATGAGGGCGTGTGTGACTGCACGCACACGCGTGACCGTGCGGCTGGCGTGAGTGCGGGCACGACGAGAGGGCAGGGGTCCGAGCAGTCGAAGACCCGATTCACAAGTTTACAAGATGCCAGAAGCAAGGCTGTAGCTGGGATGCTAATTTGCTCCGATGTGTGCATGTCACTCATAGCAGGTTGGGCCCGTGACAGTCTGACGCTGTTCTCAGGAAAGGGAAGGACGCAGAAGAGGCCCATGTGATTGGAAAGCCAGCTGAGATCTGAGGCGGCCGAGGACGAGGATGAACCGTTCCCTGCACAATGGCATCGGGTGAAGGTTGTATATAAGGTGGCCTTATTAAAGTGACAAGGCAATTTAATTCCTTTGTGCGCGATGATTCTACTTCATTGATTTACAATGGGAAGGATATAATTTTGCTAGTGTTGGCAAAAAGCTCAAATGTCAGCCTTTTCAAATTACCATACTTGCCTTGTTCAGGATGAATAATGAATAAGTCACCTTTTGTCTACAGTTAAATATTCTTGAATAAATACAAAGAACATAAAAGACATAAATGATTGCCTGATTTATATTTAAAATAAAGATCAACATTGTGATAAATGGTTGAAAATGCTGTGTGAGCAGCAATATGACTCTCCTGGCAATTACATTATCAATGAGGGAGCGGCCCAGGTGCAGGTGGTTGTTGGGGTGCCCACCCGCTTACCTGTGAAGCCGCGTCAAGCTGGGGGCCGGAGGTGCCTCGTGAGGGGAGCCCGGTCTCCTCAGCACCCCCACGTCCCGCAACCCCGGGGCCCAGGAAGGGCAGGGAGCCCTGGGCCCGAGGCCCTGGGCGTCAGGGAGGGCAGAGGCCTCGACGGAGGCTGATTCATGCTGCACTGAGGATGGCCGTCCGTCTGTCACCTTTGGAAGGGGGTTTGTAAGAACCGCTGGACAAGAGTGGGAGAGCAGATTCGTCCGAAAAATCTGCCAGTCCGTGGTGAACAGCTGACATGGTCAGGTTCTGTGCAGCTTTTGGAAAGGGGCAGACTGGGGAGGGCCTCTCATGGTGAACACACAGGCCTACATTACGCTCCAACGAATATGGCAACTTCTACTTCAACATGAAAACAATATCTGATTTTTATTAAAAATGTGTGTATATGTGGATTAGATTAACTTTCTCCAGTTTTCTGAAGAAACAAAACCAACAGTATGTGTGTCTACAGTGGAATAGAAGTATATGCATACATCTGTGTGTTTGAGAGACGTTTATCTTAAGGAATTGGCTCATTGCGTTGTGGGGCTGGTACATCTCAAATGCACAGGGTAGGCTGGAGACCCAGGGGAGAGCTGGTGCTTTGGTTCACGTCCAAAGGCCGTCGGGGACAGAGTTCTCTCCCCCTGGGGGGACTTCCATCTTTTTCTTTAAGGCCTTCAACTGATTGGATGAGGCCCACCCACACAATGGAGGGTCATTTCCTTCACTCAAAGTCTACCAATTTAAATATTATTTGCATCTAAAAAATAACTTTGAGACTTCCAGACTGATTTTGACCAAACATCTGGGCACTGTGGTCTAGCCAAATCAACATATTAAATTATCACCGTATATATATATGTATATATATATATATGATTGAAATAAAATACATCAAAGCACTACCAACAATTATCTCTGTGATTTTTCTTTTGTGTCTATTTACATTTTCTAATTGTTTTTGCAATGAACATGCTGTATTTTTCAATGGAGAAATAATACAGCAAAATACATGTTTAAAAAAAATCTTGAGTTCCAAATCTACTGTGTGAAATCCACTTGACTCTTGGTGCTCCCAGGACCATGTTCAGTGGGACATTTTCCCTTTCACCATTCGGAAGCCCCTCCTCTCCCTGCTGTGCCTACCACAGACGTCACCACAGAGCCTCTGGAGGCTCACGGAGTCTGGGGGCAGGGGGTCAGCATCCCTGTCTCAGCGCTTCCACCGAGCACGGTGTGTCCGTCCCTGGATGCATCACCCACTTTCTGGGCATCCGCGTCCTCATGCATCAGTGCAGGTTTGAAGAGGGGGGCATCTTGGGGGTCCTAACGATTGTGGGGTGAACTGAACCGGCGTTTAGAGGCCTGAGTTCCGCGGTGCCAGGCCTCTGGTAGTGTGCGGAGCTGTGCTGAAAACCAGACTTGCTCTGTGTCCCACACACTTTTGAATATCCTACGAGACGTTCCTGTAGGTGGGAAAATGGCCGTTAGCTGAGCTTGAAAGCTGGTGGCATCTTGCATATGCACACGACGCATTTTTGCTCACTTTCAACATCCGCTTGTTTTAACCTCTGAGGACGCAGCTGCAAAGGAAACTGAGGAGCTGTAGTACCTGGTGGTGTGTGGGATTTCCCGGGACCCACTCCGCACTGTAGGACGCGAGCCCGAGTCCCGCCGCGTGGGCCCGCCGCCCTTCCACACGGGCTCACGCCCTCCTCCTCCCGACCTCCACGCGCCTGGGCTGGGTGTACCTGTTACCTTGCTGTGCATTACTCTCATCGCTTATTGGTGTTAGGGTTACCGGTATAGATGTTTTGAAATTCAGATGTAGGAAGAGGTGTGTCTATCCCTTTCACTTTAGGATGGCACAGGAACTACTCCCACTTGGGTCAGCTGGTGGAGAACCACCGCAAGATGGTGCTCCGTAAAAATCACGATTCTACTGTTCTGTTTTAGAACATCTGGAAACACCTACATGTTTGCCCTCAGTTTATTAGACAGTGTTTTTTTTTTTTTTTTAAGATTTTATTTATTTATTTGACAGAGAAAGACACAGCGAGAGAGGGAACACAAACGGGGAGTGGGAGAGGGAGAAGCAGACTCCCCGCCAAGCAGGGAGCCCGATGCGGGACTCGATCCTGGGACTCCAGGATCATGACCTGAGCCGAAGGCAGTCGCTTAACCAACTGAGCCACCCAGGCGCCCGACACAGTGTGTTTTTGACGTTCCTTTGTCCCTATTTGTAGTGGAGAAAGAGGGAGAGGGTCCCCAGGAGGCGCTGGGGTCTCCCTGCTTCCCTCCGCCTCATCGTTCGCTGGATCTTTGAGACAGCCCCTTGACGGGGTCCCCATTACTTCTGCCTTCACTGCTGCGCCCCTCACATGGCGGCCAGGTCCCGGGGGCAAGAAAGATCAGCTTGTTTGGTTAGGGACCGCCAAGTCCTGACCCCTAGGTTGGGTCAGGTCCCCTGTTGGACATTGTGGCTGCTTTTGGTTTTCCTTCCTGGCACGGATCAGAGGCTGTGGATCCATGTGAATGATTGTGACTGTTGATTAGTGTCCCGCATGCGGCCCAGGTCTGCCCGCACACGGGGGGTGCCGGGCGCCTGTGACAGCGGTGGCCTCGGGACTCGGAAATGCTGCTCCACGTTCCTCTTCCCGGCGGGGCGCCTCGCTTGGGGCATCGAGGTCACTCCATCTCTCTCCTGCTCAAACGAATGTCACCGGGCGGGGCCGTCCCTCCTGCGTCCCCATCCCCTCCCTGCATTATCCTGACGTGGCAGAGACAGCGGCCCCATCCGTTCTCTTCCGTGTGAGGCCATCCTCGTAGTCACCCTGAGAGGTTTGTGAGGAGGAGAGGATGCGTGTGTGTGCCTGAGGGTGTGTGAGTGTGAGTACGTGCTCACATGTGCGAGAGTGTGAGTGCTGGTGTGTGTACGTGTGTCTGTGAATGTGTGTATACGTGCGTGAATGTGTGCGTGGATGCTGGTGTGCCTCTGTGTGTGCATGAGCGTGAGCGTGTCGGGGGAGCAGGGCGTGCGTGGCCGAAGGAGTCACGGTCGGGCCAGACCTGGCCCAGCAGGGGCGCGTGGACGCAGGCACCGACGGGCCGCCGCGGAGGGAAGTCCACGGCGCGGTGAGGAGCAGGGGGTCGAGAGGAGAGGAGAGAGGGGCCGGGGAGGGGGCGCCCAGGGAGCGCTGCCCAGGTCCCAGATTCCTTCTCCGCTTGCTCAGGTGCGGGAGAGCTTTGCCGCTTCCCGGGACGGTCGTCCCCACGAGAGAGCCGGGCTTGCTTCCGGGGAGCCGAGGCTCAGCTAGAGGGGGCCTGGCATCGGCGGTGGCTGTCCGGACCCCTCTCCCGGGCCGGCCCGTGGCGGCCTCAGCTGGAGGAGAGCGGAGGGGGCGTCCGCGGGTGAAGACAGCGCTCCGTCCTTGTTTCCAGACGAGGCACGGGACGGTCACCAGGAGGAGAGCAGGAAGCCCACCGAGGAAGGCACCGTTCACGCCGTGTTTGCCTACATGCTCAGCACACCCTGAGCCTCCAGAGGGTGCTCGGCGCTGGCCCCTCGTGTCCCAGCTGTCCTGTCGCTGGACGTCACGTCCGGAGCAGGGTGGAGCCGGAGTTCTGTGACGTGCGCCTGGCAGAGTGGCAGGCGTGTGGGGCTGGGAGAGCCTGGGGGGCCCGGCCAGGGCCCTCTTGCAGGAGCACTTTAGATGGGCTGGGGGGGGCCCTGCTCCTAGGAAGAGGACAGACGGCCACTTCAGGACCCCCAGATGCTCCCAGCTGGTGCGGGAGGGGGCGTGACGGGCAGCGGCCTTGTAAGGACGCAATTCCAGTGCACTTCAGCCCCCCGGAGATGAGCAGAGGAGGGAGCCCTGCGGTGAGCTCCCTGTGGTGGCCGCACCGTGGGGTCAGCCCAGGGAGGGCAGCATGCTTGTTTTTTTTTTTGTTTTTTTTTTAAAGATTTTGTTTATTTGACAGAGCAAACACAGGCAGGGGTGGGGCGGGGGGAAGAGGGAGAAGCAGGCTTCCCGCCGAGCAGGGAGCCCGATGTGGGCTCGATCCCAGGACCCCGGGATCATGACCTGAGCTGAAGGCAGACGCTCAACGACTGAGCCCCCCAGGCGTCCCTCCTGCTCCGTGGGGACAGGACTGCTGCTTTGCACGGGGATGGAAGCATGCCAGCCCCCAGGTTGAGATCCTCCGGCTGCAGGAACAGGGAGAAGCCTTTTGCATCCGCTTCCTTCTCTGATTGTTATATTCAGGATGAGTGTGTGGGGAGAAGGCAGAACCGGGGTTCGTATTCCCTGCGGGAATGTGAGTGAGGGGCCCCTAGCTGGTGGACAGCCTGCACGAGCTGACAGAAGCGCGGGGTTCCCGGCAGACGAGGCCGACCAGGCTCTGCTGCTCTCTGCCCTCTGCCCGTCCCTGGGAAGGTCTCTGGGAAGCAGTTCAACCTTTTCTTTCTGCGACCATGCTGGCCCGCTGAAACACTGATGAACTGATGCTCGTTCACGTGGGACAGTGTTGCTGTTGCAGTGGGGAGTCCTACGGTCATGGGCACTTGGCCAACGCGAACGACGCGTCTCCAGTTTCCTTGGGGACGGGGCTCTGCTCGGGGCACTCCACGCTGATGGCAAGCAAGGGAGGCTTGGTGGAGGCTTGCCCATCCTGCTCGTGGTCTGCAAGCTCGTGGCCCTGCAGCTGCCTTCTGTGGGCTCTGCAGGAAATGGAGAAAGAAAAGGACAGGTGTTCGCAGACAGCAGATGTCCCTGGAAAGACCTTCTTGGGCACCTCGAATTTGCCTGAATTTGGAGAGGGTGCTTGGGTTTGGGCAGAGGTGCTCGAACTGGAAATTGCCTTGAGCTTGCTGAGCCCAGATGTCTGCGCCCCGCCCTCAGAGGTTCCATCTCTAGAGAACCAAGCTTGCTCACCCTGAGATTTTCCACCTCTTAGAATAGAAATGTGCAATATGCTTTGTGCTGAATTTAAAGGGAAAGTATTTGTGATTTCGGATGTGCAGGGGGAGCCCATGTTGCGTGAGTGTCCGTGAACCACAGGGAGGGCTGCTGAGGGCGGGACGGGTGCTTCCGACCACGTCCATGGCCAGGAGCCCAGGGCCGGGGCCGGTGTCCGGTCTGCAGGACAGAGGGTGCACCCCTGCCGACATCACAGAAGGCTCTAGAGTCAGGCCAGGGCTCACCCTTGGGGACAAGATGCCGTTCTCATGGTTTCTGCAGGCCACATCCCTGCTGGCGGAAACTCAAGCCCCATCGTATGTAAAAACAGTCCTTTCTGCCTCCGTGGCTCCTTTCCTTCCCACATGTCAAACTGGTGCAGACGCGTTTCATCCTGGCCCCACCACCAAGAGGACAGGTGTTTGACGGGAAGCACATTTCTTCCACAGACGGAAAATTTGGGACGTGACATTAGGATGCATTCTGCTCATCGCTATGGCCGAGTCACGATGGGACACAGGCGTCCAGAATCTGGGTGGATGGGGCCTGTCCACAGCCCCTAGAGTGCCAAAGAAGCTGGGCAGGGCGGGTGATCCGTAAAGAACGCAGGAGTGAAGTCACGGGGGAGCCGAGAGACTCTGCATGAGCTTCTCCTGCTTCCTCATTAGTAGCCAGGACGGGACGCTCGATGGCCTCAGCCACCAGCATGTCCTCAGGGCCAGACCCCCTCTTAATGTTTCATTTACTCCTCCTGACGAGCCCCTGAGACAGGGACAGGCAACCCGCGCCCCCCACTTCCCAGCGTGAACAGTAAGGAACAGAGAGGCTGGGAGACTTCCCAGGGCCACACAGTTCAGGATTCCTCTCCTGCTATCTCCCAGACCACCCCTAGGCCGCTCTGTCCCGAGACGAGCCGTCCGACCACACTACCTGGAAAGG